GCAGCCCATTTTTTAAGATTGGTTCTAGTTTTCGAAATATTCAATAAATTCATTATTTTACTATTTTTGACCGTTAACGGTCATTTATTGAATTAAACAATATAAATCAGAAATAAACAGAGGTTGAACTGAGTCTTTTATACTGCTTGGGATCTGTTTCACGGATTAGGGTCCAACAGTAATCGCTCATCATGCCTTCGTCCCAAAATCCTTGGTATGGCCTTTCGATTTTCGCTATATCTTGGTGTAGCCGCTCTCCTTGCTCGTCGCTAGTGTCGCCCAAGTTTTGTGGAAAAAATCAAAACGTGAATGCAGAAAATGTATCTTGAGAGACATTCGAGCTCTAATCTTGTGGTAATTTTGCAACAAATTGTCGATTACTTGCTTGTAATCCGGTGATTTATGATTACCGAGAAAGTTGTGAACAATACTTTGAAACGATGCCCATGCTGCTGCCTCATTAAGCGTTAAACATTTTGTAAATGTTGCGTCAGCCATTAGTTTTCGAATATCAGGTCCGACAAATATTCCTTCTTTGATTTTTGCGTATGACAGTTGAGTGAAAACAACTTGGTTAAGTACTGGAAAGCCGGTCCGTCGCGATTGAGCTCTTTGACAAAGTTCTTAATAAGGCCAAGTTTAATGTGAAGAGGTGGCAGTATAACGCCCTGTGGGTTTACAAGTGGTACAGAGGACACATTTTGTTGTCAGTGGTACTGCCATGCGCGAACTCAAAAACTAGAGCCAATCTTGACAAACGGATTGAAGATCTGAGTTCAGGGCATCAAATAACGTTAAGAATCGTTCTCATCTGCTCGGGTCCAAAAGTTGACCCGAATTTGTAAACTTGGGCAATTATTACCTATATGATACACAGCGAACTCAGTGTCACAAATGCTCACTGGTCGAATATTCAACGCTTACGTTAACTTTTCGCGCCAATTCGGCCAACGTATAGATATGGTTGATTAAATGTCCAAGACGCGCACAGAAATAAGCATAGCAAACAAACTGGGCAATATTACACTTCCACGCGACTGATTAGTTGGTTAAATTAAAGTGGTCGATTTAGCGACCATCAACCTATAAAAGGTTAAATAGAAAATACTTAGTAAGTTTATCAAAAATTATTACTGATTCAATCATCCCTGACAAAAACCAGTTTACTAATTTCCATTTGTATTCTTCTCTTAATACAGACACATTTTATTGTAAAATAATTAAAAAAGAAACATTATTTAAATAACTAACTGGCAAGGTTCTTTAAATTATCGTCGCCATATTTTTTTCTCGTTCTTTCGTCAGGTAAAAAATATTTCGACCTTTAAAATTTAATTATTTAAATAATTTTCGGTGTTTGCATTACTGGGTATCAAACTGAATAAACAAATTGTTTATCATTCCGGTGTGAAATGAAAGTATGGTAATTAATTTAAATCCACTGTTAATTTTTAAATTATGCAAATTAAGAAGTGATTGTAAAGTGAAGTTTTAATATTTTTATTTCAACTGAAAATGGGAAGAATAATAGCCTGTATTATTAAAAAATATAAAAAGAAAAAATTGGTCAAGTCCGAGTCGGACTCCCACAAGAAGGGTTCCGTACCATTCATTATCTATACAACATTAGACACTATATTATTATAAACTTTTTTTCCGATTTAGCTGAAATTTTGAATGCGCGTATAAGTAATTTAAAAAAAATGAAGAAACACATTACTAAAAATTGTATTAATCAATAATAAATATGTAAAAAGTAAAAAACGATTAAAGTAAAAAACGATTAAAAAAAGTCGCCTTGACTAGGATTCGAAATGTAAAATTCTTACTTAAAAGATAATGTTTAGTGAAAGTACTTTTTTATTTGTAAACATTTATTTAATTCTGTTTTTAGTATTTGTTCTTATAGCGGCACCATAGATACATTATCTGTAAAAATTTCAACTGTCTGGCTATAACGGTTCATAAGATAGACCTTTGTGACAGACGGACGGACAGACAGCGAAGTCTTAGTAATAAGGTTCCCGTTTTTACCCTTTGGGTACGGAACCCTAAAAAGAGACAAGTAAAAAAAACAATTTAGTACAGTAATGAAAATTACAAAAATAAAAAAAAATAAAAATAAAAGCTATATACCGTTTATACTCAAGAGTATATTAATATATTTATAAATATTAAGAAAATATTAATACTTTAAATATAGCCAATAACTCAACTCTATAATTTGTTGTTGTTCTAGTTTTTAAATTTAATATTGTTATTATCTATGTTTCAGACAAGATTTACTAAAATGGAATGGATGGGGTTACCAAGGATTCCCTAATTTGTAATCAGGGATGGAGTTGCCTACTCTCAGGGAGACAAAGGTCAGTATAGATGTAGATATAGATTTTATAGGAGAGAGGAAGTTAATCACCGCGACCTTATAGATCTATTGTGTCCCTGTTCTTGAGTTATAACTCATCACACAGTCCCAGGGCTTTGATAAAAGTCAGTAACGGAGACGGATTTACAGAGTTTTGTTCTCCATATCAGATATCAGTCATACCAATACGTCTTGGCTTACTCAGTATTCTGGTGTTTCCCCATTTTCCCCACAGAATCTGCGTTCCGTTGTTTCTTAGCTTTAATCTACTGAGGTGTTCATTGAGGAGACTCCTGTTAAAACCCCGTAACAAGTCGAAGACAAAGACAGTCAAATCTGTAGTAGGTCTACTAACAGGGCATTGTACGCTGAATAGGCATCTAAAGCTGATGGGACTGACAGACAAAGCTATATGTAGGTTCTGCCAATCTGAAGAAGAAACCACAGAACACATTTTATGTCGGTGCAGCCTGGCAAATGTGCGGTTCTCGGTAATAGGCAATGATAGGCTATTGCCAGGAAGCGACATGGAGGGTTCAGTCTCCAAGTTGCTAAACTTTGTGAAAAGGATAGGACTAGAAAATGTAATCTAGGGATCAGAAGAGGACCACAACAGATCTGAGAAGGTCGCAGTGGATCAGGCCGAAAGCCACCTAAGAATCTAATCTTATGAAGGAAAATCGTTGATTTTTCTCAGTCGTAACTCCTAAGAAACTTCTTTCAGTGTCTTAGACTGTTGCACGATTCCCATTCCAGATTACGGATTGAGTTCTTCCAGGTTCTTGAGTTCCGCTTTAAGTTAGTTTTCACTTGGGAAGCAGAACGGTTCTGGATTTCAGTTAGTAGAGAGTTCTCTCCTTTTCTAACTAGATCGTTTGGTTTTCATTGTCTTCTATCTCTTGGTGGGTTGGCACCCCGAGTAGGAGGACTTTATTTTATTTACCTAATTTGTCTAGCTTCATGCATTCCCTATACCATACGACCAACTTTGAACTGGTGGTCACTGGAGTTAGTCGCCGTAGTGGCAACCGCGCCAACTGAATCTTTCAAACTCACTGCTATCGTCCAGGGAATGTTTTTTATCTTATATTTAAAACAAAATTCTTAAAGACTTCTCACATTTTAGGTACTCCATAGGAAACCTCACCTTACCTCACCTAGCCCCCTGGGTCATCTCCGTTCTAAACATAGACTTAAACAAATACAACGTGTTCAATGACCTTCCCAAAGAGAGCGATTACCCTCCGCCAAAACTAACCAAAGAAATTTACGAAAAACTCGAGAAGTTGAATATACCTCACTCAATCAAGGTCATAGATAGGGTGGTCAGGGCACATGGACACACGTTGAAGGACATTTTCATACTGAAGTACGGACGGTTTGACAGAATTCCTGATCTGGTGCTGTGGCCGAAAGGTCACGATGACGTTGTCAAGATTGTCAAGCTAGCTGACGAAAATGACATGGTGGTAAGTACAACAAAACTGTTATATATTTGATATCAACATTTAAAGGTCTTGATGTTTTACTATTATATTATTTGTATGATAATGTTTGTATAGCTATTGTTTGCCAAATTTTATAGCTAAAAAAATTTAACTTTTATTATTTCTTTATTCAAAAGTAATAATTACATATATATTTTATATTTTGTTGATTTAAATATTAATACATAAAAGTCAATAACTTGTACAAAATAAATACGTTATATTGACATTAAGTTAAGTATACAAAGGTTAGTGCATTTCAGAGAAGTGCGTCTGTGAAGTAATTTAAACGGTGAAACATTAAAGATACTGTTTAAACACTTAAAAATATGAAAAAATTGGTTCTGAAACTTTTAAACAGGAAAAAAATATTCTCTGTGAATAGATTTTCACCGTTTCGTTATTTTAATCTGTATAGTGACAAATAGAATGGGAAATAATTATTTCTACGATTTATGATGTTCATTTTCCAATCTAGAGTGGAAAACATTACTTTCTGCTTTATTTTTCAAAAAGGGATAATTTTCTGATCGGTCTAAAAAAATATTTTTATTTGAATTTGATATGTTATACATTGAATGATATATGGAAGGAGCATATTAGCCAAGTGGAAAACTGCGAAGGTGTCTTAATATGACTGACTTAATTTCTGGTTAGTAGCAGTTTATGAACCTTAAAAGTGGGCTAATTAACTTTAATCATTTTTTTGTAAACACTACCTTTTGACTTTATCTCTCTACAGTACTAAAAGCGATTATTATTTACCTACCGTGTGATGTCTTTATTTTACAGCTACTCCAGTTTTTAGTACCATATACGAGATTGTATACAAACTTTATTGGTGGCTTAAGCTTGATTTTTATGCATCCGTTATGTTTATAAGAACTTTTTTCATATTTTTTGATGAGGAATCAATGGGTACTTAAAATTTTCGCTAAGTTGATGATATTAACATTATTAAAAACTTGCTATTAGACTTGGATCAAGGCAAATTAATAAAATTGAGTTTGTCTCATCAAGGAGGCGGAAATCGACAAAATATCAAGAGACAACTTTTAATCGACATTAAACTGCTTACACTATTTCGCTGACAAGAGAAAAAAGTCAGTGGCGTACATGCTTTATTTAGAAAAATATTCCATTGATAACTCATCTGCACGTCCCTGATGAATAATGAATTATGAATATGTCGACACTTTTTTAGCTTTAAAATATGTCGCATTTATAGTAACTTTTACCCTCAAAATTTCATTCGAAACGCTAAAAGTACTTGGAAATTATAATAAATCGAAAAAATATTAAGACTTTAACACCCTGTAGCTTCGAAACAAAGCAGAATCGGACCTATGTTGATATGAAAAATATATCTTATTTTTACGTGAGATGGCCCAAGTAGCACGAGAGATGGCCCAAGTAGCAAAAAGAAATTCTAAAAGGATTGAATTATTTTATAACAGTCGAATAGCGTTGTCTAAAGGACTGCTTGATTTTATTAAGCGTTTGGTTTCGACCATTCTGTTTTTTAATTAAAGTTGCCATATTAAACTATTTTCTAGTGGTTTTTACAACGTATCCTATAACGCATTAAACGATAATTTCTTTTAGTATGATATAACACTTAATAAGACAATGCTATATGATAACAAACATATTATTTTATTAGGCTCTTATACCCACCATATAAGAGTTCTATAATATTCATATAACTAGTAGTCACAAGATCATATAATAGTTACTTAAACTTGTCTTATTAAGGTTGTATTACGTTGTATGATAGAATGTTTTATTACCTTAAACTACGGTGCTGTATACAACACCAGTTATATAGCCTTATATGATAAAATTGTGATTAACAAAATAAATTCGCTGTAATATCTGCATTATAAAAGTGGTAATGTATAATATAACCTCATTTTAAATTAAATGGTATACCTAGTTATTTTTTTGTTATTGTTGTTGTTGCAAAAGTAATATCTACGTACGAGTATAATCAATCACAGCTATTATGAATTCTGGACAAAGTTGGAAAAAAGTTAACAAACGCAGTGGTAGTTATAAAGAGCATGTAAGAAAAAACTCATCGAAATTACGGCAAATAATCCCGAGAATTCCCTGGGTTCCCAAAAGCCAAAATCTCTCGGGTTGTCTGGCTTCTTCAAAGCATTGTTGCCACGTTGATGTAAAAGTTTTACTGTAGTAATGTTTGTATTGTTTTATTGTTGTTTTTCCAAGTCCTTAGGTTGCCGCTCACTCGTCGGGCATGCATGAAATGCATTGCGTGCATAAATCCATGAAAACCTGATCATGTTTGTTAGTTTAAATACTAATCAAATGAGATTTGCCAACATCCATTTGTCACAAATCTCAATATGTCAAAAATAGTTCTATAGTGCCTGGAAATTCTGCGTAATGATAGATATTTATCTTATACCGTTTTATTTTACCACAAAGACTTATTTAAGGGATTCATTTATAATAAAATGGTTGCATTATAATTCGCCATGTTTAAGGCAGAATTTTTGTATGGCCTATGGCCGCCATTATATGAAGCAAAATTAAAAACATCAAAATAAATTGTAAAATGTTTTTTTTGAGAACTATTTTGTGATAAGATTCCCACATACAGTAATAAACTGTTTAATTAAATTAAAAACAAGAATTTTTGAAAATTTTATTTTATTTTATTGTTTAAATTTATACGTAAACCTAAATCGAAATTAAAGCGCTTTAATTTTTTGCCAAATACATACCTAATCTACCAGTAAAATTTTCGGCGCAACAAAAATTTTCCCTACTTTTCAAACCCTATTAATGATTTTTTATATTACATATTTGTTGTACCTTTTGGCTCTACCCGCCATTTTCACCGTCGAGTAAAGTCTCCTTTTTAACAATCCACATCCTCTAGATTCATTTTACGACACGCTTAAAATATAATTTGCTCCTAATATTCATCGGTAAAAAATAAAATACTCTTTTACCTCGCTAAATGATTAAATGTTTTTATTGTTCTGTTTCTTAGATGTGACCACGTAATACACAATAAAACAAGTTTTATAATAGTTATATAACCATGTGTAAAATAGTTGCATAAGAGTTGTATACCCTTTTTATAGAACTTCTATACTACTAAACGGTTGTATGAAAATGGGCCTTTTTTGGTTGTAAAGCTATCATATTACGGTCTTATAGCACGTTATATGAATTGAGGTATCCTATAAAAATTATCACATAGCGTTTATACAGCCTTTATAAAATAAAATTTGCTACTTGGGGGCACGTTTTTTGAAACACCCTAGTTTATATTTCTATTGTCTTCTATTTGGGTGTATGCCTAATGGACAATAAATGAAAAAAATAATTATTTATCCTTCCAAACCTTCCAGATTATTCCTTTCGGCGGAGGCACCGCAGTGTCCGGCGCGGTGGAGTGTCCCACCGGCGAAGACCGGCCCATCATCTCCCTGGACACGACGCAGATGAACCGCATCCTGTGGCTGGACGAGAAGAACCTGGTGGCGTGCTGCGAGAGCGGCATTATCGGTCAGGATCTGGAGCGGGAACTGAACAAATTGGGCTTCACTTGCGGCCACGAGCCGGACAGTTACGAATTCTCCAGTTTGGGCGGATGGGTGGCCACCAGAGCGTCAGGTTGGTAAGATTTAGTGTGAATCTTGAGTTATTTAAAAATTGTGGAGTTGAAATGTGCGAAAAGCGGAAAATGTGTTATTTTGTATGTATTGTCAAGGTGTATGTGGCTCTAAACTGTAGTGCTGGTTGCCTACATTGCCGCAACGTGTCTAGAAACATGGCGAATTCACCAAAAAGTAAAAGACCTTTTTAGGCGCCATCTCATAATCAAGTCGACAAGTAAGAGAATCAGACAATAGAATTTACTGGTAGATGGCGGAAAAGTATCGAAAATTACAGAAGGTTCGAGAAACAGTCAGTAGGGGTATATAAAGGCCCGCGCTTGGCAGTTGGACAGTTCGAAGTTTGATATTACCGCATTTTAAATTGTGAATTAATTGGCGAAGGTGCCGCACATCGATATCTGTTACCGTTTGGTAGTTACGGGGTGTTTTTCAAAAATGTGCATTTGTAACAAATCGCTGTAACTTTTTTGCTATGGAAAATTTTCTGTTTTTATGAAAACATATCCAAAGCACCTTTTTACGTAGAATTTAATGGTTTAAGTATAATTTTTTAAGTTTCCGCGCTGGGCGTTCTTGTATAGACAACATATTTGTATTACAACAAATAATTGAAAAAAGGAGAGCTCCAAATTTGGATACGCATCTGGTATTTATAGATTTAGAGAAAGCCTATGACACGGTGCCTTTGAAGAAATTATTTGAAATCTTGGTTGAGGCAAATGTGAGTAAAACATATATCAATGCAATCTGGAATATGTACAAAAATCCAAAAAGTATGATCAGACAGGGGAAGTTCCTATCGGAATCCTTCCTGACATCTAAAGGACTTAGACAGGGGTGCAGTTTATCACCTACCTTATTTAAAATATATATCCAGGAGGCATTGAAAAACTGGAGAAGGAAGAGTAGAGCTATGGGAATAGAGATTGACAACCACTGTCTATCGACCTTGTTCTTTGCAGACGACCAAGTTATTGTTGCAGGTTGTGAGGAGGATGCCGACTATATGTTGAGGAAACTTGATGAAGAATACGACAGATGGGGACTCAATATCAACCTCACAAAAACCGAATACCTGAAAGTAGGAGAAGAACAAACTGAAGATCCTAAACTACACATACATGAAATTAAAAGATGTAGCGAATATAAATATTTAGGAAGTATTATATCTGAAGAAGAGAACTCCAAGAAAGATATACATAGTAGAGTTCAACAAGGTAAGAAAGTAATCGGTCTTTTAAACCCTCTCCTGTGGTCAAATAAAACATCCATCCAAACAAAGATAAGGATTTACAAAGCAATCGTAGATCCAATTTTAACATACGGTGCCGAATGCTGGTAATTTACAGCAAAAGAAAGAAGGATGGTCGAGTCAGTGGAGATGGACTTTCTCAGAAGAGCATGTCGCATATCAAGGATGGAACACATTAGAAATGAGGAGATCAGGCAAAGAACAAGGCGAATATATACCAGCACCGACAACATCGAATCGAGACAGCTACTATGGTATGGGCACGTAAAAAGAATGGGAGGGGAAAGATGGCCAAAAAGGGCAATGGAGTATCGTCCCCAAAGCAGAAGGAAAAGAAGAAGAAGTATAATTTTTTTTAAATTAATAATTTAAGATTTATCAACAGAAAAATTGATTTTTTATTTGGGACACCCTGTATATTTTTAATTAACTGAAAAGTACTTAAAATTACCTTTCCAAAAATATAGCACACTTGATATTTTGCGAGGGGTGTCTCACTATTGGAATTACATGTACATTTTCTTGGCAGTCGCTGGTAGTCATGGGCAGTCTTATGGCAGTCGCCTCTAATAATTACATGGCAGTCATAGGCAGTCTTCTTCGCAGTCATTTGCAGTCGCTAGCGAGTAACATGATATTTTGGCAGTATATGTACATTTTTTACCCAAGTGAGACACCCCTCGATATTTTGTTATAATCCCCTTTGAAATATAGAATTTTATAAGTTCGCCACTTTTAACTAGTAGGCTTTGGACGCCTTATTGATGATATGCCCCTAATGGAACTCCAAAACATTTTTCCAGCAAGACTGGGCACCGCCTCAGAACGCTGAAGTTATCAGAAAATTTTTGCAGTCAATTTCAAGAATAATTGAATAGATAACCAAGATCCCAGCCGTTGGCCGTCGAGGCTGCCGGACGTGCATCTGGATCTAATCCTATGGATATATCTGATGCGGAAGAATGAAGGTTCTTATTTTTAAATTAGTTTGCCAGACCAAACCAAACCAAACCAAGCCGTATAATCTAGACAAAAATTAGAAGTACTTGGCAGTTATGGGAGGGTATCTTTCACCCCTACTGAGTTAATAAATTTTGCGAGAAATATTCAAAAACGGCCGTCTCTCCGTAACAGAAGACGGTTGATATGTCGAATACCTGAAGCAAAATTTCATGTCTTGGTTTGCTATTTATTTTTATTGTTATTAGATAGTTTAAAATGTGTTGATGTTGGTTAAATTATAGTTTAAATTGTTATAAAATTCTGCATCTCTCATTGCAAATATTATTTTCGTTTTAGTTGATGCTCACAGCTAGATTTTTTTGCATTATAGCCGACGCCGTTCATTATTTCTCTGCCGTATTAATAGCTATTTTTATTTGCCTATCGTGCGATGTCTTTATTTTACAGCTACTCCAGATTTTAGTACCGTATACGAGATTGTATACAAACTTTATTGGTGGTTAGTGCAACTCTCTGGGTCTACGCACAAACCAAACTGCAAAAGCAATATCGGCAATGTTTATCATTTTCCAGAACGGGGATTATTTGGCATAATTTGACAAAAGTTTGAGAAGTTTTAAAAATCTTAAGTCGAGTTCATACGCATATGCGTCCGGGCGTCGTTTATCGTTCCGTCACTTTAATTATACTGAAATGTGATCTGTCATTTTTGAAATAATCCAATAAGGCTGGTTAAATACAAGAGAAGACTCATAACGAATTTATGTATAAACCCATCCATAGTTAACTTAGTCAACCTTTTTTTCCGATCGTAATGGTATTTCAAAACAATCTGAATTACACCAACAATTCATGTAAAAAAATTGTCTTATTTTTCTCCATACACTATATTAATAAATAAATAATAAGTTCAATATTTTCATGTATTATTGCTTTTGACTGATCTATTCATTTAAAGGAATGAAAAAGAACACATATGGCAACATAGAAGATCTTCTAGTTCACGTGAAAATGGTGACACCTAAGGGTCTTCTTCAGAAGAACTGTCAAGTTCCTCGACTCAGCTGCGGACCGGATTTCAATCACGTGATCATGGGCTCAGAAGGCTCGTTGGGTGTGATCACCGAGGTTGTGCTCAAAATAAGACCCGTGCCAAAAATTAGGCGGTACGGGTCGATCATATTTTACGATTTTGAGGATGGCGTGAATTGTATGAGGGAGGTTGCTAGGCAGAGGTGCGTATAAAATGTGTGTGTAAATGTCAGATATATTCATCATTTTTGCGAATTTTTTTTTAGTTTTTAGTTAAAAAACATAGTTACTTGATAATATGGCAACATAGGTAGGGGAAGTCCGAAATTCTTTTCCTTTCAATACTTTATAAATTGTTAAAAATGGCAATTTCAACAAAAATATTGACATTTTTATTTAATATACTTAGATGTCAACCTGCCTCTATCAGACTCATGGACAACGACCAGTTCAAGTTCGGTTTAATCGTCAAACCTCAAAGCACATTCATGGAGAGCATCGTGGATGGCCTGAAGAAAGTATATGTTACCAAAATAAAGAAGTTTGATCCTGATCGGATGTGCGTGATGACGTTGCTCTTCGAGGGCGACGAGAATGAGGTTAAGGTCAGCGAAAAAAGGATATACGACATTGCAGCCACGTTTAGAGGAGTTCCAGCGGGTGAAACCAATGGGGAAAGAGGATATATGCTGACGTTTCTGATAGCTTACATAAGGGTAAGTGAAATGGCGCAGTCGGTAGGATTTGAACCTTGTTACTAAATCTTCGAAAAATAATTTCTAAATAATTTTGACTTATGTAAAAAACTTTATTAGATTTCTGTTTGAGTAGCGAAATACCCAGATTTTTCTACTCCTCCATAAAACAACTACGACTATAGATATATTCTACTCAAAGTAACCCTGCGCCTATGTTAAAAAGTTAAATAACGTATTTTTACCTTGTTAGTCAAAATAAGTATAAATAGATAGGTAGATTTATTTAGTTCACAATAATATTACATAACACTGTAGAACAATCAGTATACAACAAAGGAAATAACACTACATACTAAATAAAATACAAAAGAAAATAAAATAAGTAATACAAAACAAATCTAATAATTCTAAATAATAATAAAATAGTAGTATAGATAGTCTACTCTGTACTATTAGAGTAAACACACACAAAAGACATTCAAATAAATAACAGAACACTGGAAATAGTAGAAGAATATATAGCGTATGATGGAAAAAAACGGCGTCAGCAATGGCTATGAAATGTAGATCGCTGTCATTTTATATGTAAAATTATATGTGAAATGTTATCGATCGTCATTTCCAAGCCAACTGAACGCCGTTTTTTTCTATCATACGGTATATTTGGGACAACTAATACACAGCTCTGGATCTCTACTACCAGAAATCAACAGAAGAATTAAGTTAGCATGGAGTGCTTACGGAAGAAACTTATCATGTTCAAATCTAGAATGCAACTTTATCTAAAGAAAAAACATTCGACCAATGTGTACTACCCGTCATGACCTATGCATGCGAATAAAACGGACACTGTAAGGACTACAGATCGCACAATGGAACGAAATATGCTGAAAGTAACCAAGAAAGACCGTAGAAGAATAGAGTGGATACGACAAAAAAAACAGGTAACAGATGTCATCAACAGAATCATATCTCTCAAGTGGCAATGGGTAGGACACCTAGCAAGAAGGACGGACAACAGATAACTACATACAAATAAAATAAAAAAACAAAGCAAATAAAATAAAATAATATAAAGGGCGTCCCGTTTAAAGTAAAATAACTTTCGGTCACATTTCAAGAATGAGAGCTTCCAACTAAAAACTAGTTATACTACTGGATTCTACATGTAAAACCATATGGCACTCAGTTGTCGATAAGTTGTAACATAACCAATATACGAAGTAGGTCGAAAATGCAACATCTTGAAATTCGCCATGTATTTTAAGAACTAAGAGGGCTTTCATAAAAAAGTAGCATAGTAATATCAAAACCGTATATTTGTTTCTCTACTACAAACGAGATACTGGACACCCTATACACCGCCATTTTGATATTTTTAATCGAATAAATGTATAATCATATCCATATGCATGCCCTGTTTCGCGGTTTTACATAAAATATGTCGGCAAAACTCCTGTTTCGAATTAGTATCCCGTCCAAATAAATTCATTTTGAAATAATGTTGTATTGCATGTGACATTTTACGGCAAAATAAGGGAAATTTGTAGCCCAACGTTGCACACGATAAATTAATATTCGAAAAATTATTTATTATTAATGCAGCTAATGAAATTAGGGACATTGAATTGCGATTAACCGGAATTATGCAACCTTTTTTAATTAAAATAGATAATATAATCGATTAAATATAAATAAGAGCGTTGTTTGTATCAATTCGATATTAATTGACAAATTTATTGTTTTTAATTGATAGTAAATTATAGAAATTTGTTTGTATGGAGGCTATAAAATGATTGTTTAGTTTATTGCATTTGTTAAAGCACTTTTTTAAATTCAGTTTAGTAATCTGTTAATTTGTATAATATTTTATCGATATATTTATTATACAGGGTTGTTCACCACATACGACACGAAGTATTGTAGCTAAACGACTAGATTTTTACAAATTGTAAGTTTTGGATTCGTTGAAGGACTATTAGAGCTACAATTTAAAAATATTTTTACAAAATACAGAGTGTCCCAAATAAATAAAAATATCAAAGTTGTATTTTTAAATGGAACACCCTATATATTATTACATTTTAGTTTCTACGCTTTAAATAAAGGTAAATTTGATTAAGGTTTATTACACTTAAACCTTACCGTTTTTGAAATATTTTCAATTTTGTGAAATTGCAGTATAAATTTTAAGGCTTCATTTCTCCGAGGGTATCATAGTTTTTATTACTAAATATCTACTGAAGTTTATTTATTGATCAGTTATTGTGTTGCAATAATAAAAACTTTACTACCTTATACAGAGTGTCTAAAAATTAATTTTAAATAATTACTAGCTTTAAACGGCAATAATTTGTTTAATTTAAATGGAACACCCAGTATATTTTATGAGATTCAGATGCACAATTTAATTGTCTATCAAATTGTATTACTATTTTTTACCTATCTCTTCAAGTTTCCGTAGAAAATGAATTTTCTTGTAATTTAGAACCCATTTATCAATATACCCATGGAATACTGACATTTTAGATTATTTCTAAAGATGACCCAAATTTTTAAAGAGTACAGATACTAATATTGTCGATATAGTTCGTTTATTTCATTAAAAAAAACTGTTTAAATATTTGTTAAAGAGGACCAATTAATATGATTCCAGTATTCAACTACATTAATTGACTGTTTGCGTTGATTAATAATAATTGCTCCAAATACTAAAAAGCTGAATTATGTATGTGTATTAGACCGTGTGGTAAAAAGTAACACCTTCAAAATGATATTTAATTTTTCGACAAATGCCTATTTATAACAACAGAGACGTTCATTTTCATAACTTATTATTATATTGATTTCTGATTCAAATCCACATTTATTTAGAATAATTTATTAACGAACACAATTAAGTATGTAGTTAATTAGTATTTGGGCGGAAATACTGGGGGTATATTTAATTATTGGTTTAATTAATTATAAAGATTTAAATAGTTTTCTTTTTGCATACAAATGGACTAATAATATTATCGTTTTACTAAAAACGATAATATTACTAGCCTGTACATTTTGTACAATTGTTGTTTTAAAAACAATCTAAAATGTCAATATTCCATGGGTATATTGATAAATGAGGTCTAAATTATAAGAAAATGCATTTTCTACGAAAACTTGAAGGAATAGGTAAGAAGTGGTATAATACAATTTGAAAGACAATTAAATTGTGCATCTGATTCTCATAAAATATACAGGGTGTTCTATTTAATGTAAATAAGTTATTGCCGTTTAAAGCTAGTAATTAATTAAAATAAAATTTTAGACACTCTGTATAAGGTAGTATAATTTTTATTATTGCAACACAATAACTGATCGATAAATAAACTTCAGTAAATATTTAGTATTAAAAACTTTGATATCCTCGGAGAAACGAAGCCTTAAAATTTATACTGCAATTTCGCAAAATTGAAAATATTTCAAAAACTGTTAGGTTTAAGTGTAACAAATCTTAATCAAATTTACCTTTATTTTAATCGTAGAAACTAAAAATGCAATAATATACAGGGTGTTCCATTTAAAAATATACAACTTTGATATTTTTTACTTATTTGGGACACTCTGTATCTTGTAAAAATATTTTTAAATTGTAGCTCTAATAGTCCTTCAACAAACCCAAAACTTACAATTTGTAAAAATCTAATCGTTTAGCTACAATACTCCGTGTCGTATGTGGTGAACAACCTTGTATAATATAGACACAGCTATTATTATTTATCGATATATTTATTATATAATATATACACAGCTAATTATTGTTCGGAAACAAAACAAGGGAGATTATTAAATTGCTCTATAATGACAACGAAATTGTTTCTGCCGAAAATGTATCATTCTGGGAATTAATGTAGATAGAAGGTTAGATTGGAAATATCACATAGCATGTGTTGTTTCTAATATAGCTCGTTTTAGTTACGCAATGAAAATTATCTCTGAAAATATATCTGAGGACATTGCAATAACAGCATATTATGCCTACATAAACTCTGTAATACGCTATGGCTTGATCTTCTGGGGGAACTCATCGGATGTTAATAGGATAATGATTGTACAGAAGCGCTGTATTCGAAACATTTTCAAATTAAGTTATCGTGAAAGTTGTCGCAAATTTTTCATAGAAAGGAAAATACTAACAATAATCTCTATGTATATTCTGGATTCGGTAGTATTTGTTTACGACAATAAAAGTCTCTTTAAAAAACCAGAGTTAAAACATCAGTACTCTTCTAGAAATAGAGATATGTTACAAACCGACAAGAACAACTACACGTATGTACAGAAGAATGTGAAGCACAGCATTATAAAGATATATAATACTTTCCCACTCTCAGTTACTGATTTATCTAGACCAAGATTACTGTTAACCCTAAAAAAGTATCTATTAGACAAGGCATTTTATACGCTAGATGAACTCTATGCAGACAAGGGTAAGCTGTTAATATAGCATTTAATAATATTATTTGTAGTAAGTATTATTGCGTTTTCAATTTATTTTCTTGTTAAAATTTTATAAATATTGAAACTAGTAAATTATAGTTATGTAATACAGTATAAAGACTCTTCAGAAAAGTATTGTAGGAATCATGTTTATATTAGGATAAATTTAGTAGTAGGTATTTGAGTGTTTTAGTATCTTGAGTTTTTTGTTAACATGTTCCACACCCATCATGGGTCAATTTAGAAATTTTATAAATAAAGATTTATCTATCTATCTATCTATATTTGTATAATATTTATTGATATAATATTTTTTTAGCAAACTGTATATTTATAGTATTTTTACGTAAATTTAGTAATTGGCATATTATACATGGTTAATCGAGGGATTGTTCTTTTATCTTTAACTTTAACCTTTCCGGGACCGTGCTACAAAAAGTTACGT